CTATATGTCTAGTAAATGGCACCTGTCTCTTGACTGATGACCCTGCTCTAGGTCTGTGTTAGTCTGGGTAGACTAGAGAAACTAATTCATAAACACTCTCATATGTGTATAAGAAGGAGGTTTATATAAAGAGTAATTGGATATTGAGAAAACATCCCTGCCAAGTCCAGATCTAGACCATAAATCTGATATTATAGCTGATATGTCTGATAAAAATCTGTAAAGTCCTGTTCAGACTCATGAAACACATGCAATGGCACCAATTGCAGGAGGATCACAGGCCAGTGGGTGCAAAGTCTTGTGGGTCCAGTGGGAGTAGAAGCATCTCAGCACTGGCAGAGGTCTCCACGTGGCTCCTCCAGTTCTCAGGGTATGAGGTCTATCAGTGTAGTGCCATGTGTCTTGTCAGTAGAGCATCCCTCAGGGATTGAGCTGAGAGAGAAAATGTCTCCCACCTCCAAGGAGGAAAATACAGGAATTCCCAGAATCCTCAGGGGAAAGCCATGCCCACACATAGGCCTCATTGGCTATGACCAGATTGGCAGACTAGACTCCACCCCTTCAATCTTAATCCTCTCAAGTTCCAAATTGACACCAGATTATGTAACTACCACAAGTTCACAGATTCTTTCATAAATCATTTGGTTAGTGACCATATATTTAAGGCCATACCATTATTAACTAAAATCTTATATGCACAATCACAAATAGCAACTGTGAGAGGACACTATTACCATCCCTATTTTAAAAATGAGAAAGTTGGGCTTTAGTGAGATTTAGCATCTTGCCCAAAGTCCCAAGTAGTGGATGGCAGAGCTAAAAATCTGAATCCAACAATGTAATTCCAGAGTCCCATCATTTAGTCACCTTTAAATATGCTCTCTCCTGGTGACTAACACATTCACTTAAAAATCGTGCAAACAGATGCAGGAATCAAACAGGGGTTTTCCACCCCCAATCTAAATGGCTATTGAAGACACACTATCATCATCTCACCTCGGAGCTTTGTACTAATGGGATGTTTGCTTGAACGGAAGTTTATTGTCGAGTCTAATGGTAGTCTTTTGTTCCTTTTCTTATGCACATTTGTCCTTGTTCATTTTTACTTCTAAATAATGTCCTACTTACTAAAGGAATGAGAAATCAAAATAGCCCAAAGCATGCAGGGGCACCTCTGCTTCTCTGAGGGTTGTTTCAGCCAGTACAGCTTATATAACAACCTTGACTGAACGCCAGACCCTTAAAGTCTATAACACATGTGGGAGGGTGGGGGGTGGAGAGAGGAGCAGGGCATGCAAAACAGAAAATATGTTTCATATTCATTGCTGGGATTAGCCAATTGTAAGTTCCAGCTTGCTCAAACCAAACTTGGGATTCGTTCGAAGATTTATTGTTTATTCATAAATCACCACATGGCTCTCTGTCACTAACAGAAACTTTTGTTTTTAAACTGCTTTGCTGAATACAAAGGAGTTGTGATTTTTAAACATATTTAAGTAAAGGTATAAGATTTCTATTCAAAAGTATATGGCACACCCATCAATGGGTGGGTATTAGGATATGTTTATGGGGAGATCCAAGGTAAACCATAAGGAGGAAAGTATTTCCTGGCAAAAACATGTTCGTTCAAACCACTTCTGCAGGTCACTCTTGCACATCCTTTGAACCCTCACTACCAAATACACAGATAAGTTTGAAGGGAATGTGTACCACATGAAACCAAAATTCCTCTTTACTGGAAGAAAATCCTTTTTGTAGGTTAGCACTTTCTTTTTGCTTTTTTTGATGAGACAATGTTACTGTGGATAGTGTTAAGTCTCCAGGAAATCTCTGCTTATATACCCCAAAGTCAGATCAGGGATGAGTCCTAGTGTTTATATTTAGAGTTCTGAATGAACACTTGGTTTGGGTGCTGTTGTTTTATAAAAGCATCTGCGTCAATACCTTTTCTTTCAAGTCTACCTCAAACCAGACCAAGAAACCAAGAGGCAAAAGGCACAATAGTTGGCACCATGTCTTGACATTTGGTGTGTATTTTAATGATATGAATCTGCACTCACTTGTCCAGCAGTTTGCTGAGCACCTGCTCTCTGCGGTGCAGCAGAAACCGAGAGGAACATATGCAGAGAGACACAGAGCACTGTAATGGTTCATGGCCAGTCCCTGGAGGGGGACAAACAATTCACACACATGGATCCCAATGGAAAGTTTGGCAGTGTGAGTTCATCCAGAGGCACCTCAGAGGAAGGGTCTGGTGATCTACTTGCCAAGTGTGTGTCACTGAAAATCTGATGGAGCACAGTTCTGCTATGTGACTGTCCCACGTGGGGTCATCATGAATGCGAACCCACTCTCCAGCAGCTGTTCTAGTGGTTGGTGAAGGGCTCCAGTTGGTGGCTAGAGGAGGTCAACTGAAAGTCAAAGATCAGGTTGCACGTTGATTACACAAGAGGTAAGGTTCAGAGAAGGGATGGTTTAGGCTGAGATCATAATCTATACAAGGGTACAGGTATACAACCATCTGACTCATTTCAGGAAATGGCCATTATATTCAATACTCAATGTGAGAGTCAAGGGAACAGTGGGAGGCATTCACGAGAAAAGGGAGAGGCAAGTCGTGGACAGTCATTCTAGCCCCTTCTGAAAGAGCTTCTTCTCACAAGCCTCGGCCATGTTGTCAGGAGAAACCAGGCCTGGAAAAGGACATCATGCTTGGGAAAGCAGAATGACAGTGAGAAAGTGGAAGACCCCCAAGAAGAGGGATTAACACAGTGCTGCCACAATGGGTGCAAACGTGAGGACAATTGTGAGGATGGCCCACGGCAGGGCAGTGTTTAACTGACTCAATGGCACCTAACAAAATGCTGATTCTACACATGTGTGGATATCTAACAAACAATGCTCAAAAAATGTAAGATATTGATGGTAAATTCTTAATATTCCCTTTTAGCCACATATTCTTCCCTCATGTACTCTTGCCTCCTTTGTTCCCTATCCTCTGAATGCAGAATAAGAGTAAGGCCTTCTGTTTCATAGAGGTCTGTTTGAGTAGCTCAAAATCTCTGACACGTGGTTTACAGGTAGAATTCTCTCCTGTGTGGAAGAGCCAGGTTTGACGCCCAGCCAATGCATCTCAAGTACAGCCACTGTGTTATCTCCATGAAACCTCCCAGCGTGCTGCGATGCTTAACAAATTTCAGTGGAGCGTCCAGTCTAAGACAAACGAAGAAGAAATTCCTGGTGATCTGCTTCTAAAAATCAGTCAGTAAAAACCCAGAGATCACGAAAGTCTCACCCTGTTATACAGATGGCCCTCCTGAGCTGGGAGTGTACTCGACAGCTGCTAGCCACAACACGGTGCTCCCTTATCTCACTGTCCTATGAAAGGAAAGAGGTCAGCTTATTCAAGCTAAGCTGCTATTAGAAATAAAGGCTGCATAAGCAAATGTGACAAAGAAAGCTGATGGTGCCCGGCTATCAAAAAGTATAGGGGTCTTAAAGGCTTGAAGGTAATCAAGGGGCCATCAAGCTCAGAAGCAACAAAGCCCACAGGGAAGAAGCACACCAGCCTATGCGATCACGAGATGTCAAAGGGATCGGGTATAAGGCATCATCAGAACAAAAATCTTACCATAGTGAATGAGGTGGGGAGTGGAGACCCAAAGCCCATTAGTAGGCCACTGGAGATCCCCTTGCAGAGGTGTCTCGGGGAGGAGACGAGACAGTCAGGGTGCGATGTAGCAACGATGAAAAATACAATTTTCCTCTAGTTCCTAAATGTTTCCTCCCTGCTCCCATTATCATGATACGAATTCTACCTTGCATGTCTGGCTAGACCAGAAGATGTACACTGGTACAGATAGGAACTGGAAATACAGGGAATCCAGGGCGGATGATCCCTTCAGGACCAGTGGTGTGAGTGGCGATACTGGGAGAGTAGAGGGAGAGTGGGTTGGAAAGAGGGAACAGATTACAAGGAACTATAACCATATGTGACCTCCTCCCTGGGGGACGGACAACAGAAAAGTGGGTGAAGGGAGACGTCGGACAGGGCAAGATATGACAAAATAATAATTTATAAATTATCAAGGGCTCATGAGGGAGTGGGGAGCAGGGAGGGAGGGGAAAAATGAGGACCTAATGCCGGGGGCTTAAGTGGAGAGGAAATGTTTTGAGAATGATGAGGGCAATGAATGTACAAATGCGCTTTACACAATTGATGTATGTATGGATGGTGATAAGAGTTGTATGAGCCCCCAATAAAATGATTAGAAAAAAAAGAAAGAAAGAAAGGCTGAACTCCTGAGGAGCTATGGAGCAAAATCTCGACTTGACCTCTTGTTTTAGACTGGAGACTATCCTTTCTGCCAATACAGACAATCAGTGTTGCAAGCAGCGCCCATTTTTCCTTTTGATGGCATATTGGTTATTTCTCCATAAGAATTAGCAGCACTTATAGAATTACATATGATTTATTCAGTTCACCACTAAGCTCACATTGAGAAGTCGCTGCCAGAAACCTTTGCCTTCAGGAAAGCAAGCACCTGAGCTGCCATCAACCAAAAAATGACCTAATTCCTGTGGGAAATACAATGAAGTGATGGCAGTCAGGCTACTGAGAAAAGATTTGGTTTACCCTGGTTTTCTGAAGCAACGTCTTCATCCAGTGGGAGACACTGCCAGTAAGGGAAGAAGGATCATTTACATACCATAGCAAGACTAATCAGCCCTGGAGCTGAGTCACCGCCTGCCCGCTTGGCACATCCTGGGAAATCCCTTGGTGGAAGAGAAGTCAAGTTAAAATCGCGGTGCCGTGCTGCTAATCTTTTCCTGTGTCGTTACTGCACAGAGCCACTTCTGGTCAGTTGTAATTGTGCTGGTGATTTCCTATCATGAATTAACTTTTTTAATTTTTTTAAAAATTGTATATTTGGTCTCACTCTAAAGGATACCATAAAAAACATCTCCACCTCCTTCTCTTTTTCTCTCTCCTCTCCAAGACCTTTGAGAAAGCAGCATCCCTGGCACGTTTGGTCCAGGGCTCAACTAGAATGAGCGGTGCAGAAAGCCCTACGGAGACTGCAGAGGTAAGAGGGAATTTCTAGGGGAGGAGTTGACCACATCTAGCCTAGAGAGCACTTCTGATAGTTAACTATGGAACAACTGTTAAGAGTCGAAAGTGACGAGTTTGCTTGCTTTAGCTAAGAGCTGCTCTCTATTTTTTGACATCTGGGTAATCGTTGTGTGTCTTCAGTCTCTCTGCTACTTTTATTCTTTTACAAAAATGAACGAGAGCATAAATCCTGCCTAAATTTCTTTCAATGCCCAGAATTCATGGGTGGCATATTTTGCTTTTGTTTCAGCGAAATTCTGTGAAATATGAAACAAGAATAATATTATAATGGCTGGTTAGAAATAAAACATGTCTGAGCAGTAGACTATAGTAAAATGTTTAGGTATACAAAATTAATCCCAGAGTTATTTTTCAATTAGCACTTCCTTTTACATGAGGGGCAGAATACTTACGGAATGAATGAATGAATGATGAGTGAGTGAATGAATGAATGGAAATGCTTTCTGAAAGTTACTGAGATGAATGATGTATAGTGGGAAACTAAGGAAAGCTCATTTGTTCATTTAAGTATTTAAATTTTGTAATGCCAGACCTTGAGTATCTTAAAAATTGTTATAAAAGAAACAGTAAATGAGGGGGGAAAGCCTAGACACTTTCTTATAGATATTATACTTCTCAGTGGGATAGCTGTGCTATACTCAAGCCTATAGAATCAATGAATAAAAAAATTCTTTGCATTTATTGTAATCTTTGATGTCTGAATTAGAAACCCAAAAGGAAACCAAATGCAAATGAGAATTTCCCACAGTCATTATATTCCATTGGTTTTTCTGCATATCTATGGATATATGAATCATGTTACAACATCGAGTAATCTCCAGAGAAATTTCTGGTGCTTACCTGTGGCTTAAATCAATTCCTATTCACTATGCTTTCTATCATTTTTCAACTCCCTTTTGAAATGTCTGTGCTTAGAAGAAAATGTGTGTTTCTACACTGGCAAGTAAATTCTCTCCTGGGTTTAGAAACAACCCTTTCAGTAACTCTACATTACAAAATAAAAGCCTAGGGTCAAAAGAGTTTCTCTTTTAAGGAGAAGGGGGAAATTTATTAAAGGCAAATAAAGGAGAAGGAAATGCATGCAAATGTTTATACAAATGTTTTTCAAATATTTTTAGCCTACGTTACAAAAAGAGAAAACTTTGAGGGGCTAAATTCATAATTGATATTCTCCTGGAGTTGGACTCTGGCTTTACCCTCAGGAACTCTGCATCAATGTTTTCAGTGAGTTCTGAAGGTGATTCTGATGCCCTCTTTCGACAAGACGCACAACCCAGTCTGATTCTAGCTCCCGCTTGGCTGTGCTCAAGATGCACTAAGTAGGATTGGCTCACATTTCCCAAATCAAAGACGGGTAACATTTAATCTGCTTGATGCTGAATCGATCTAGTTTCAGAAGTTCTCTCCTCAAAAACAGGGAAAACCCAATTTCAGGGCTCAATATAATTTTTTTCTTCTTTTAAAATCATTTTATTGGGGCTCACACAACTCTTATCACAATCCATACATCCATACATTGTTTCAAGCGCATTTGTACATTTGTTGCCATTATCATTCTCAAAACATTTGCTTTCTACTTGAGCCTTTGGTATCAGCTCCTCATTCCCCACCCCACTCTCTCTGCCCCGCTCCCTCATGAACCCTTGATAATTTATAAATCGTTATTATTTTGCCATGTCTTACACTGTGACAGCTCCCTTCACCCACTTTTTTGTTGTCTGTCCCCCCAAGGAGGGGGTTATATGTAGATCCTTGTGATCGGTTCCCCCTTTCTGCCCCACCTTCCCCTTACCCTCCTGGTATCGTTACTCTTATTATTGGTCCTGAGGGGTTTATCTGTCCTGGATTCCCTGTGTTTCCAGTTCTTCTCTGTACCAGTATATATCGTCTGGTCTAGCCAGATTTGTAAGGTAGAACCGGGGTCATGATAGTGGGGTGAGGGGGAGAGCATTAAAGAACTAGAGGAAAGTTTTATGTTTCATCATTGCCATACTACACCCTGACTGGCATGTCTCCTCCCTAGACCCTTCTGTGAGGGGATGTCCAGTTTCCTACAGATGGGCTTTGGGTCTCCACTCTGCACTCCCCCCATTCACAATGATATGATTTTGTGTTCTTAGATGCTTGATACCTGATCCCATTGACACCCTGTGATCACACAAGCTGGTATGCTTTTTCCATGTGGGCTTTGTTGCTTCTCAGCTAGATGGCCACTTGATTATCTTCAAGCCTTTAAGATCCCAGACACTATATCTTTTGATAGCCTGGCATCATCAGCTTTCTTTACCACATTTGCTTATGCACCCAAAAAGAAGTGGGCGTTAACAAACCCAGGGACAAAAGAATAACAAATGATCCAAAATCCATGGCAAGGAGGGTGTGAGAGGCCTGGTAGGGCTTGATCGAGAGCAATGTAACTGAGAGGAATTACTGAAACCCAAATGAAGGCTGAGCCTGATAGTGGGAAAAGAGAAAAGTAAAAGGAAATCGAGGAAAGAACTAGGAGGCCAAGGGCATTTATAGAGGTCTAAATACAGGCATGTACACATGTAAATATATTTATATGTGATGATGGGGAAATAGATCTATGTGCATATATTTATAGGTTTAGTATTAAGGTAGCAGATGGACATTGGGCCTCTACTCATGTACTTCCTCAATGCAAGGACACTTCGTTCTATTAAACTGGCATTCCTGGATGCTCACCTTCTCAATATAACCTTTATCTGGATGTTGAAGTCGTTCTTGACACGCAGTCACCCCGGATTAACAAAACCATGACCCGAACTTACTGGACCACAGAGGACTCCCTAGAAACTAAGAAAAAGAGGCACTAATATCAATGGAGATAGGTAAAATAGCATCAGATCCAAAAAAGTTCAGATTTAGGTAGAGAAGAGATAGAAAAAAAAATACTATTTAATAAGTGATTTCTAATGAAAAAGGTCTTGAAATCTCACAAAGATTGCAGAAGAACTCTTTCCAGGAAGAGTGTCTGGCACAGACCAACAATGTTTTGAGAATATTTCTTAATTGTTCCAGAATATTTTAAGCAATGCCATGGTCCACAGCAACTTGATTTAGGGACAACCCTCATCATCCCACTCATTATAGGACGTAAAATTGAGCTGAGCTGAGATGGTAATAAGAATTGCAATAGACAAAAGAGTTCTTCACTTAAGGGAACCTTGTTGGTGACTTCTTTAGGCAGATGGGAGGCCGAGTTTGAAAACTTTTGTGCTTTCTTTAAGTGAGCACACCCATCCTTTTAAAGAATTAAAAGCTGATTAACTTTCTTTTTTTTTTTTTTGCCATGTGAATGATTGTATTAATCTCAATGTGTGACCTAGTAGCTTACTTCAAAGAGCAGGTTATAGTGACATTGTACCAAATTGATCCAGATCCTCCTCTCTACCTATACTTGTGTTCAGTTTTTGTTTTTGAAGCTGGTGGCAAAGCGCTTCTGCATTAGGCTGCTAACTGCAGGGTCAGCAGTTCGAAGCCACAGGCTGCTTCGAGGGAGAAAGACTGGAACTTCTGCTTCCGTAAGAGTGACAGTTTCAGAAACTCACAGGGGCAATTCTACCCTGTCTTATTGGGTCTCCATGGGTTCGCATTGAGTCGATGAAAGCGAATTTGGTTTGGGATGCTTCGTCAGGTGTAGAATCAAATTGCCCTATGGGAGCGGTTCTTTTGTGTCCCTGGTTCCATCACTCCTCTGGCTTTGGCCAGGGCCGCTACTCAGAATTTCTGACTGAAATCAGGGGTACATTATGAAACAGGACTTTATAGAAATGCTTTCTATATAAATACTGGAACATACCTGACTTCCATAAGCTATTGATGATATGTAAACTGTCATTGTATTTCTTCTTCTTTTTTTTTTTTGAAAAGACTTGAAATTTATGAAACTCTAATTTCTAGGATGTCTGCAGGTTTTTTGTTTGTTTGGGTTTATGTGGGAGAAAGATGTTGGCAATTGGCTTCCTTGGCAACCCTGTGAAGCAGTTCTGCTGTGGCCTAGGAGAGCCACTGAGTGGCATCCACTCAGCGGTTGTAGACTTTTTTTTTTTGCTGGGCTTTGTGGAGAAGAGAGGCTGCCTGTTCTAGAACCCCTTGTTGTGGAGTCCACTCCACCTCCTGAGGGCAGCCTGGCACCGCTGACCTTGCCATGAGCAGTCCAGTGTTTAACCCACCGAGTCACCGGAGCACCTTATGCCTGTTATCAAGAATAAACGTATTCATTAAGAATTATTTGGGTAATGAATTTATGCACAGGAGTCTAACGTATGAAAATAAGCTGATGGATCAGCAGGTCTCTAGGAAAGATTTGTGATGTGGGGGCCAGATATTTCTCAAAGCTATGGCATTAGAGTGATCTAGTGCATGGCCTTTGTGAAGGACGAGATTGTTCCGATTGCTGTTAGGGATTATTTTGTTCCATTATGCCTATTTTTTTTTTTCAGTGTGCTCAGTCATCAGGAAGTAAGAACTTGACAACTGCTCTTGAAAAAAAGATTAAGTGTTTGGAAAAGCAGAGAAAGGAGGTAATTTCACTGGAGCGACCTGTGCTGTGGATTAATGCTGAGCATACGATACAGAATGTATCACCCGGGGTCTTTTATGTTTGTTCTCAGCTCCCAGTATTTTTCTCCAGTATATGCATCCTTGTGTTTTCTTAAGGCCAACTACTTTATTCACCTACCCATCTCTCACTCTGTCTCTTGATGTTCCTGGAACTATAAGTGAGAAATTGCAACATGATGAATCCCGGTCGTGACCAGCCTTGTTTCCTCCATGTGGGCCCTGTGAGCTCATCCCCTGTTCTCTTTATACCTGGCAAGTTGGCTGACCTGGGAACTCAAACTGTCAAAAGCGGTAAAGTACAGGAGACTGAAGGCATAATGCCTTCATGAGTTGTGGGCTGAAGTGCACAGGAGTTAAAAATCGTTGTCAGGAAACATGTTTCTTTCTAGAACACTAATGATAAAAAGATATATATTATTCTAAATGAGCTCTGTTTTCTGAGTGGTGTATCAAAACCTCTTTGCTCTCTTCTGATGGTGAAAGTGTTAAGAAGGGTAACTGTTGGAGCAATGTAATGTTGCTGCTTGGGCAAGTCCCTTTCTAAACCGTTTTATGTATTAGAATCCTTCATATTCTCTTCTGCTGCCTAGAATATTGTGATCTGGGAAATGAATTAGCTAAAGCAGGGTAATATTACTATAGCATAGAAATGTGCATCTTTAAAGCCCCACCTGATCGAATGATGCTGCCTAATAGTATTGCCTAGCCTTACACTAAATATCTGTGTTTACCTCCAACATAAGAGTTCCCTAATAACTACCACTCTGAATAGGGCGCTTATTTTATCATTAGGAGCAAGGCCAATATATATTGGAAGTCCAATATATAGATATATTACTATCATGACAGTCTCGTGGGTGTTTCTCCAATATGGACAATGTTTGAATAGCTTTTAATGTAGGAAGTTACAAACGTCTGCTATAAGAAAATAAAGACACAGGCCACAGCGGTTTTTGTTCCTTAGAGTTAACACATAAATTTAACACCCTCAAGCTGTTTGTAGTCTAAAATATTTCTAAATCTGGTCTTGCTGCAAAACTATTAGTCTGTGAAAGAATATACTTCCCAAAAGGTGGTAGTCTACATTCGTTGAATATGTGCTTATATTACAAGTCATGAGTTATTTTTAAAAGTTGCAAAAGCACACTCATAAGCAAGTGGCTTTTGATAAAATTTGAATCTCTTAGTGTATATGCTGATTTAAAAATAATAAATATGTAATCATCATCTTTTACAAAGCATTTTCTTTCTACTTGAGTCCCTGGCATTAGCTATATTTCTCACTTCCTCCCCCATATCTACAGATGTGTTTGACAAAAATGGAGATATATATGGATTGTGATAAGAGCTGTAAGAGCCCCCAATTAAAAATTAATTAAATTAATTAAGTACAAAATAATATTTCATTATAATATGTGAACACTTAGAAAATGACATAAGCTTCTAGGGAAACTACCCTTTCTATGGTAATAAACCTGACAGAAAATCATCAGTCCTTCCAAAAGTTCACCATATTCTGGCTGGATTAAACAAAAAAGGTATGAATTCAAATACAGAAGAAAAATTAAAAGTGACTGATAAACCGTTTATCTGACCAGTGAGACATACCCCAGATAAAAAGATGTTTTGGAGGTTTTTTTTCAATGTGTGACCCATTTATGAAAAGAGAAATGTGGGTACATTGCAATTATCTGAGCCCAACCAGATCTTGATGAAAAGAATCCTAGTTTCACCTATAGTGGGCAAAGCTTGACCAATTTTCCAAATGGACATAAATCACTCATTCATTCCCCAAATTGTAATCGTTTCAGCTCCTGGAAGTTAACCAACAATGGGACCACCAATTTAGAAGCATGAAAGAGCTATATGAAAGAAAGGTAAACACTTCTCTGTGTTGCAAGCTTGATTGTAATCAATCATCTTAGGAGAACCAGGATGTGAAGACTCGTTCACTTGCGCTGTTCTTGGAGGTGTGCGGCTGCTCAGTTGTTGAGATTTGAAGGAAGCGGGTGCTGAATGCAGTATCTGCTTCTCGGTACTGAAGATAAATGGGTGGTGTCAACGCAAGGTCCTGAGCAGGCAAGAGAACGATGTTACAGACAGCCGCGGCTCCCCAGCCTATTGCCATGCCCGCAGACTTCCTGTCCTCTGCTGGCGGCTAGCGTCCACACACAGGCCAGACGAAAGAAGAGGTGAGGGGCAGTTTGCATTTCATTCTGCACTGTCTATGCAGGGCTTGCTGGCCTGTAACTAGATAGCATCAGCGATGACCACAGAAAAAAGAAACAAAAAGCGCGGAGAGTGAAAGTGTGAGGACACGTGGGACAGCCCCTCTTTGAACGTGATGAGAAGCTTTTGCTTTGGTGAGAAAAGATTCTTTGGTGGTGGTGGAATATATATATATTATATATATTATATACATGTATATATTAAGGGATATGAATATATATATACATACATATCCCTTAATATATACATGTATATAATATTTCCCCCCAAAAGAATCTTTTCTCATCAAAGCAAAACTTGTGAGCGTTAACGGGAAGAGGCGATGGATGCCCCTCGCGTCCTCGCAGATGTTTCGGCAGTGGACTGTACCCTGTCGTTTAATGTCACAGGACCACACTGGGTTTCCTTCTGTTGTGCAGGGGGTTGCTATGGGGGGGAGCTGACGCAATGGCACCTAACAACAACAATAGAAACGTCCTTTAATAGGTTAAAACCCATTGACCGATCTTAAAATCCTTGTATTATCAAAAAGGGAAAGGCAATTCTCTTAAGTTATTCGGAATTCAGAAACTGGACCACAAGTGAGTAATACATCAGCATTGTTCTTTTTCTTCCCTGTTTTAATTCACAAAGGTATTAAATGTAGAAGGTACAGGATAAGGTTCCCCATTTGGAAGGAGAGATCTGCCTGATACCACCTGAGGCAGTTTGGGTCTCCAGATGATCAAAGAGAGGTTTTCAGAGTATTTAAGCTGCTTTCCTAAATGACTAGTTAGCAGGTGTGTGAACATGGAGTGCTAAATTCCAATCCCTGATGAAACATCAGTAACCATATTCTCTAACCAGGTTGTTGTCACCCTGACATGCAATGTCGCCATCTAGCAGGAGGTCAAGCACTGCAGGTTACTTTTTTCTTTCTTCGGGCTGAGGCATTTCGACCTACTTCCTCACTGCCCTTTCCGCTCCAGCAAGGTAGTCATGATAGTGAAAATCAGAATGGCGAGCCTTAAGAGGCACTCCTGTCTAAGGACTCATGCACCGCCAGAGAGTCGATGCTGACTCATGGCAACCCTACGGGGCAGAGTAGAACGGTCCCTGTGTGGTTGCAGGACGGTAACTCTTGATGGAAGTAGAAAGCCCGTCTTCTTCCCGAGAAGCAGCTGAGGGTTCTGACCCGCTGACCTTGCGGTGAACAGCCCAGCACATAACCACTATGCCACCAAGGACTACGTCTATTTAATTCTTCAGAAGGGGCATGGTTTGGCCAAAAGCGGAAAAGAAGAGGGTGCCTTTTGGGGGACTGTTTGGGGACAAGGTGTTAGCTTTTCCCGGTCCTGGTCAAGAAAGCTACATCTTAAATGCTGACACCCTCATCAAGGTGGGAAAGTCTGTCCTGGGGGCACCCATGACGTTCCCAAGATCATTGGCTTGGCGGGGGGTGAATCCGGGCATGTGTGTCCTTTGGGGAAGGTGTTTATCGCTGTCGGTGATGACTTCCTCAGGTCACAGAGCTGACATCAAAACTGGACGTGTCCCAAAGTTTCCTCAGCGCGCTGGGCAGGGAGCAGCTCCCGTGTCAGAAGAGGAGCGACAGGCTGCAGGACCAGACGCCGGACCTGCGGGGGCTGGAGCAGGTGTGCGGGGCTCGGGACAGGGTTGCACCCAGGTTGAAAGGGGGTTTCTGATGAACTCACAATCTACCGTTTTTGGAAAATCAGACTCACTGAGCAGTGGCTTTGTGGGTTGCACAAGTACCCCAAAACCACAGATCAGGGCCACTTCTCTGGAGATCTGGAATAGGAAGGAAAAGTTCCTCAACACTCTTCATGCTTGATTGCACAAATAGGCAGCAATTTGCCCGGTCTCCGGTCTCAGAGGAGATTGACTTGAAGCACACCCTACATTAATACTTCCTCATTCACAACAACACAAAGCAACCCTGATTTCCAAATAAGATTATAACCCTGGGATAGGGTGAAGAAGTGGCAGCACATATTTGGGGTAACACAGTTCAATCCATAACATTATTTTTATTGAATCTCTTATCCATCAGCCCTATAATAGTCACTAGCCTGTGCTGCATACCCATTGATCCTAGAAAAGTGAGGACTGGCAGTGCTGATATTGTTTTCTGTGTCACAAGCCCTCTGAGTTAGTTAATTGTGCCAACCTGGCCGATAATCACATGTGGGGCTAATTGAAAGGCAGGGGGATAAATGGGTGGTGAGCCTCGCCTTTCTAGTTCTCGGGTCTCTTGCTTTGTGATGGCGCACCAGGGTGCAGCTGCCTTAGCAGCTCCCTGCTTCAACTTGTAAGGTTGACTTCCTACAAGACATCCCCAAGGGGAAGCCGTGTGGACCTATCCCGATACAGCCCTGGGTGCTGGAGCAACCATGTGGAGACCTCTGCTAGTGCTGAGATGCTTATTCATTTACTGACTCAGCTTTCCTCCTGCAGTCGGCATCATTGCCTCTGTTGTGTGAGGTGGAGGACTTTGTGGTCTGGGGTTGGGTTAATGGGTTAGTGTTGGACTGTGGGCTTGGGCATCATTGGGTTGGGATGTTTTCGTGATGCACCTTTTCTTTGCATAAAACTCTCTCTTATCCGTGGGTTGCTGTGGATGTTTCTCCAAAGTCAGTACCATCCTGTTGGTTCCAACCCACAGCGACCTTACGCACAATAGAAAGCAACAGTGCCCGGTCCTGCGACAAACTCAGAGTTGTCCCTATGCTTGAGCCCATTGTAGTACTAAGGGTAAGATAAAGATTCATTAAATTCCTCCCCTCTGCCCAGAGCAATAGTACTCGAAGGGAATGCCGAGTGAACATCCAGCAGGCCCCATTTCTATTGTATTTCAGAAGGGAAACCCTCTATTGGCAGCAGCTGATGTCTCCGGATTCCTCCTTGGTCCTCTCTCCCCTGTGTTTTTGTGACTTGTTTTTGGCTTTCTTCTTCTTCCCTTTAGAAAGACCAGGAGCGCCTCAGTGAAGAATTGCATGAATTGAAGAGAGAGAATAAGCTTTTGAAGGAAAGAAATGCTCTTGCAAACAGAAAGAAGGAGCATTATGAATGTGAAATAAAACGTCTCAATCAGGTATCAAACCAAGTCAAGCGCGAGAAATCCAAGTGCGGGTCCCTTTATAATGATCGCGTGGCTGCCTGTGAGTCAGTCTGCACTGCACCCACCACCACCCAGCCTTTGAGGTTTGCCTGGGGTGGCCCTCTCGCCTTTCAGTCTGTCCCGTCCAGTTGCCCTTGCTTTGGCTCCATGGTCCCATCCAGAGTCGGCTTGAAATAGAGCAGTAGAGAGAAGTTACAGAGGGTGGTAGGCAGCAGTGTTATCGTTAGAAGGAGCCACAGAAAGTGGGTGTTTGCCAACAATAACGTATCTTTCGGTCGACCACAAAAGCTTCCTGAGGAAACAAGCTGCTCTTTCTTTACAAGCATCACGACAGAGCTGGGCAGGGTGCAGGTTGGATGGAAGCACGTTCAATGTCAAACCCCAGGCTGAAAAGGAAGCATGGTGGCCGGGGCCAGAGCGGTGGCGAAAGAATTATGGCTGTTAGAAAAACGCCAGGGGTTAGTACTTGCACGCTGGCTAGCATCTCCAAAGGCGCCTTGGGTGATGCACATGGTCCTGAGACTCTGCTTCTAAAACCCCGGCCGATTAAAGCTCTGGGGGGCGTGGTTCTGCTCCCACCCTCACTGAGCGGTCCTGAGTTAGAGGTCACCCTGTGGCAAGTCATGATCTGTGAACTGCCGCAAGAACCTGGCAACCAGGTGCGTGTGTGCATGTGTGCGCGTGTGCTTGTGGGTGTGTGGGTGTGGTCGGAAATGGAATTAAAAGATGCTGGAATTTCTCATGAGTTTTTTGAAGCCCTCTTGCATTGCATTGTCATGGATTCATATGTCATCTGCTTGGGGAAGCGAGGGCTGGCTTGGTCAAGGAACATTTTTAATCCTTTGATGCACACTTGTCCGAGAGTCAAATCACACGTGCAGCATAGGACCGTGCCTAGCATGCAGTGGAGTCGAGGAGCTCTGCAGCTTCCCAGCTAGTGTTTTTCTTGTCAACCTGAGAAAGTTGCCTTCTACTCGCCTCCTTCCTGTGTGAATATGATTGTAGTCACCGAGGGTCTCGGGAGCCACTGAAAGATCTGTCTGTGCTGGTGTAGTCGACGTGCTGCTTTGCACACAGCGATCTCACAGTTGAGGTGTTCGAAGAAGAGGAAGTGGTCCTTCAGAAGAAAATGAGAAAGGGGTTGTTGTCTTCATAAGTAATGTACTTCACTCTCCTGCAAGATAGGAAGGAAAATTGCTCCGAGGGAGTTGATGCTGGCTCATAGAAACCCT